AGTTAAGGGGAACATTATCTAACATTCTTCATTATACAGTTATTGATAACGGATATCCTGGGATAGTTAAGGGGAACATTATCTAACATTCTTCATTATACAGTTATTGATAACGGATATCCTGGGATAGTTAAGGGGAACATTATCTAACATTCTTCATTATACAGTTATTGATAACGGATATCCTGGGATAGTTAAGGGAAACATTATCTAACATTCTTCATTATACAGTTATTGATAACGGATATCCTGGGGAACAGTTATTTTTTAAACACGGAAAATGTTTACGCTTTCTGGTCCAAACTAAACTCCATCTAAAGTCCAATGTGTCTAGTTTAGAAATACATTTTCTATGTCAACAAGAATGTTATCTAGCGTGAACTTTATATACATATATAAATATACGATAATACTATTATATGTTTTATTTCCCTCTCTTTTTTTGTCTATAATCTTTACGTTATAAAAGTAAAGGGCGTGACCTAGTGGATGGTTCCCGTAATGGACTGTGTATCAGAAGGTCCGAAACCGCGAAGTGATGCTAAGCACGTCCTGGATTTCCACCCTTGTATGTGCTTATAAAACTGACCGTCATTACCGCTATTTGGTTGAAAGTAGACACCTTATTGATTGTTTGCCTTCCCTCTGATCGAGGCTATTGCCTGAACCTTGAGGTCGCTGGTCTGACGGTTTATCCCATGTACTGGTATCAGATAAGATGTCGTTCATGTTGTACAAATATAATACCGAAATATACTCTGGGTATTTTGTATTCAATTCGTGATATATAGGATATTTCCATTTTATTTTTTAGGTATATTTCGACAACCTATTGCAGTTAGTACGTTTTGACACGTGGGGTGATAACGGACACGAGGTGGAAATACAAGATTTCAACACAGGTAAAAATTCTTTGATAGAAAAAAAACGCCGTGACACAAGTAAAGAACATTCTACAGCGAATCCTAATCCCACAATAGGCCTGCTCCAAAGTTTTTAAAACTAAACTTTTATATTTTATAAACCTTTACTGTTAACATAAATAACAAAATGTATTTTATTCGTCAGAATTTCATAATAAACCGCTCCCGACGGAAGCTATTTCACATTACAATGAACTGGTAAATAACAAACAACTTCTGAAGGAAGGTGCTTCACTTTACAATGAACTGGTAAATAACAAACAACTCCTGAAGGAAGGTGCTTCACTTTACAATGAACTGGTAAATGACAAACAACTCCTGAAGGAAGGTGTTTCACTTTACAATGAACTGGTAAATATCAAACTGCTCATGAAGGAAAGTGTTTCACTTTACAATGAACTGGTAAATGACAAACAACTCCTGGCGGAAGGTGTTTCACTTTACAATGAACTGGTAAATGACAAACAACTCCTGAAGGAAGGTGCTTCACTTTACAATGAACTGGTAAATGACAAACAACTCTTGAAGGAAGCTATTACACTTTACAATGAACTGGTAAATGACAAACAACTCCTGAAGGAAGGTGTTTCACTTTAAAATGAACTGGTAAATGACAAACAACTCCCGAAGGAAGGTGTTTCACTTTACAATGAACTGGTAAATGACAAACAACTCCTGAAGGAAGGTGTTTTACTTTACAATGAACTGGTAAATGACAAACAGCTCCTGACGGAAGCTGTTTCACTTTACAATGAACTGGTAAATATCAAACAACTCCTGAAGGAAGGTGTTTCACTTTGCAATGAACTGGTAAATAACAAACAGCTCCTGACGGAAGCTATTTCACTTTATAATGAACTGGTAAATATCAAACTGCTCCTGAAGGAAGGTGTTTCACTTTGCAATGAACTGGTAAATATCAAACTGCTCATGAAGGAAGGTGTTTTACTTTACAATGAACTGGTAAATATCAAACTGCTCATGAAGGAAGGTGTTTCACTTTGCCTAGTAACAAACTCCAGTTAGGGTTAAAAAGTTAAAAAGAAAACGATAGTTATTTTGTAACTCATAAATCAGTAGTGTGGTAGATACTTTACACAGATCTAGAAACGAAAAACTTGCTTTTTGTACGTTCTCAAGATCACATTGTTCTTCATCCTAAACCTATTATTCACAGGTATCTCCTACAAGATTAATAAGGACGAGAGTTGTACCCGTGGGGCCATCATGAACTCCCCAGCCGAGAAGTTTGGATTAGGTTTCTTGGGAAGCCTAAAGAATAGCACCGAGTTCTTATCTCTGGACAGAGATTACTACCACATTGGCTACGTGAGTTGAAACCCAGCTAAAACCGAATTACAAATAAACACCTGTTCGTAAATCACTGTAATTACAAGATAACTAGAGGTGTTGGGTAATTAGTTATAACAGGTATATTCTGTAAATCATCAACTAGAGGTGTTGGGTAATTAGTTATAACAGGTACATTCTGTAGATCATCAACTAGAGGTTTTGGGTAATTAGTTATAACAGGTACATTCTGTAGATCATCAACTAGAGGTGTTGGGTAATTAGTTATAACAGATACATTCTATAGATCATCAACTAGAGGTGTTGGGTAATTAGTTATAACAGGTACATTCTGTAGATCATCAACTAGAGGTGTTGGGTAATTAGTTATAACAGATACATTCTGTAGATCATCAACTAGAGGTGTTGGGTAATTAGTTATAATAGGTATATTCTGTAGATCATCAACTAGAGGTGTTGGGTAATTAGTTATAACAGGTACATTCTGTAGATAATCAACTAGAGGTGTTGGGTAATTAGTTATAATAGGTATATTCTGTAGATCATCAACTAGAGGTGTTGGGTAATTAGTTATAACAGGTACATTCTGTAGATCATCAACTAGAGGTGTTGGGTAATTAGTTATAATAGGTACATTCTGTAGATCATCAACTAGAGGTGTTGGGAAATTACCAGCTCTTATATCTTCTTACGTCATTAATCCAATAACTTTGTTTGTTCTTTAGAACTTCGTACGAGGAATAAGATGTAACGTATGGGAGAATGTGAGAACCAATGTAACTATAGGAGGGAAAACTTACAGGAAAGTAGTCCTCACCTACTATTTCATGACGGTAAGTAACAGGGTAAATCTTATTTAATTTCAATTCGAAGAAGCTCGTTTACGTTAACCCGGAGTTATTAAAATGAATTGGTCAAAGTAGGCCTAACGAAATAATATTCTATTGATTGTGTATTACGTCAGAAAATGATAAGAAAATCTACGTAGTTGTAAAAACTAATTAAATATCTCTTTAATAACACTACCACGGGTTCTAGAGTCCCTAATTTTGGACGTAAGTAAAGGACTGATTTAGAAAGGTACAGTACGATGACCATTAACACTTTTTTGTTGTTAGCTTGAATGATAATAACTATAATGGGGCTTTGCTATAATTTTGTGAGAGATTCGGGATTAGACGTTTTATACAGTTTTATACTGAAATATCAAATGGTTTTGTACTGGCCTGGTGATTACAGCGCTTGACTCCCAATCAGTAGGACACGGGTTCGAATCCACGTAACCGTATATGCTCGCCCTTTCAGTCGTGGGATGTTATAATGTTACGATCAATTCCCATATTCGTTGATGGAAGAGTATCCCAAGAGTTTGCGGTGGCTGGTGTTTATTACTTACCTTTCCTCTGTCACTGATAAGTTAGGGACACGAAATTTCAAGGCCTACAGAAGATGACCGAAGGTTAAAATAACCTGTTCTAATTGTACCTTTGGTTAGCCCCCCAGTGGCACAGCGGTATGTCTGCGGACTTACAACGCCAGAATCCAGGTTTCGATACCCGTGGTGGTAGAGCACAGATAGCCCATTGTGTAGCTTTGTGCTTAATTACAAACAAACAAAACCTTTGGTTAATTTGGTATATAATTGTTTACACTATCTTTTATTAAGAAAATTGTCTTTGCAATATTTTTTTTTTTCTTTTTCAATCAGCAATGGTGGAAATCATTTGTAAGTGGTGTTCCCGAGAACGAAAAACCGGTTCGTTACCAGATAACAGGCTACGAAAAAGACGATGCCGAAGTAAGGGTTCTTTTAATTCCTGGTTCTTTGTGAATGTTTATAGAGGTTCTTTTAAGTCAAGATTCTCTGTTTAAACGTTGTTATATGAGATGTGAATAATAGCACTGATATATTTTCCTTACTTCAAACTAGTTGAAAAATAAAATATTTTGAAACTTTTCGTCAACACTCGAAGAAATTGTTATTTTAAAACATATTTTGACTTGATTTAACAACTTATTAGATTTTATAAAAAACTATACTGAAAGAGATACTTGAAAAGCTTGGAACATTAGGCCTAGTTTACTGGTATGTCATTTCTTCTGTTTGACGAGCAAATAAAAATATTAAATAATTGAGTTTAAAAAATGAATAGATAATATTTCGATGAAAAGGGTGTGGGTTAGCCCCTTAAAGAAGCTTTTTCATTTTAGGGCTGACGAGGCGGGTTTGAATCCGTACAATACTACACAATATTTCTACACTTTATATATCCCCAGTGAGTCAGCAGTAACTTTACGGACCTGCAACGTTAAAATCCGGGGTTTCATCTCTCCCCCAGTGAGTCAGCAGTAACTTTACGGACCTGCAACGTTAAAATCCGGGGTTTGATCTCTCCCCAGTGAGTCAGCAGTAACTTTACGGACCTGCAACGTTAAAATCCGGGGTTTGATCTCTCCCCA